TCAACTTTTCTTAGATATTCAAGGGGTGGTTTCTGTTCCTGCCTTTTTTTAACACACTGAACTCTAAATCAATGTTGATTTCCATCATCTCCAGATCCAATGCTTTCTCAATCAAGATTATTTTTCTGTTTTTTTTTAATCAGCGGAGATTATAAAACATTCAGTTCTTGAGTCACCATCAAGCACTGAGTAATCCAGTGATGATGATCTAGTCAGTACTAACTGATCTATCTGCCTTTATGAGCCATCTAAAATGTATAACAAAACTATAATCAGAAGTATTTGGATTATAACTGAGACAGCAGTTGCCTCAATTACATATCACTTTTGTTGTTGGGCTAGGGAGACCCAATTCCAAATCTTCACATAACCATGCAACTTGGCCTTCAGCTGATCACAATCTAACAGTCTAATCCATCTCAGGAGGCTGTTGTGAGTAAAAGGTAGAGGAGAGAAGCTCTTGAGAGAAAAGGTATGTTGTAATTTTAATAAATTTAATTCATTTATGGAGTATATTGGTGAAGCAGTTAATATGATTCAGAATCATTCTTCCTTTATGTGAACAAAGAGTCCTAACAAAACTCTAATGACACCAAATGTCAATCTAACACTTTTCAGTACAATCAATTGTTTGTCTGAAATCACCTGATAGAAGATCAGATGATGCACATGGACCTGTGAACTAGTTCTCTCACCCCCTAATCAACTTCACAAGCTTAGGGTGAAATGTTAACGCTATTCTAAATTAATTGGAAGGAAACAGGAAACAGAAATCTTACAACTAACAGGGAAGCAAAGCTCCTCAAACAATCTGAAGATTCCCAAACTAGAAAACAGAAGAGATTTCTACTGAGCTTTCATGTCATGGCAATTAAGCATTATGTCCCTCTCTCCACCACATCGCCCCCTCCAACAATCACTATGGGTACTGAATGGATTAAAGCCTTTAATCTATATCAGATTTATTACTTTAATATTTTTCAAAAATCAGTGAAAATGTAACTAAAATTTTAAAAAATCACAGTATATTGGTTAGATGTTTAGATATAACGTATTATATCTCTCCTTTAAAAAGAAGAGGGGGACGCGGTGGCACAGCGGCTTAATGACGCTGAAAGTTGCCGGCCAGAAATGGTC